GGGGTGCTGGTGGTTTGGTTTTGGTTAATCGTGCGTGGGCTATTAACTGCAAAATATCAAGGTTTAACAAAGCTAAAATTTCTTTCAGTGGGTGGTTTTGTCTTCCCCCACATTAATATCAATATTTTGAGGTTAGAAGCTCTTCAGGGTGTTCTGCCTCAGATAGCATTTCTGTTAGCAGGACTGGCTCTGCTCTTCAATATATAGAAAAAGGTGAAAGACAAACTTTTCTGTTTGAGTTTATATTAGAGCTGTTCAAATCCTTGTGAAAGCCTTTTTCTAGATGCTTCAGTGTCATATCTGGTAGCCAAACTAGAGAACAAATGCTTGTCTTGTTCTTATATGTCTCTCTTGAGAGCAAACTATTAGTTTTGCTTCCCATAAAGTTGGAAGAATCTTGCAGGATACTTAGGGAGGTGTTTGAGGTGGGAGAGCTCATTACAGCTCATTCCTTTTCAGCTGAATAAGTATTTAAGAGAAACAAATGTGCAAATTTAACAGCATTATTCAGATAATGGAGGATTTCAAGTGTTCTTGACACTGCTGTAATAGGCTGATTGCTAACTGGGATTAATAAAAGTGGGATACAAATCATCCTTAATCTAGTTTAGGGCTTGTAGCAGCTTGTAGCAAAGCCAATGTTTTTACTTACCTCAAAGAGCAATTTGAAAAGGAAGAAAAAGCTGCTTCCTTTTATGTATACCATGGCTCCAAATTAAAGAAATATGGTTCCCAGTTTGGGTGGGGTGAGATCAACTAATAAACTACAAATCTTTCACGGTGAGAGGGTACTTCAGACCTGTGCTCTAGCAGGAGGGAACGCTGATGGGATAAGCACAGGAAGATACACGTATTGAGACTGCAACTAAGATGAAGCCTGAAGAATAGTTAGAAATTACGCTTTAAAAAAAAAAAGATGTGGAGTATGTCAGACTTCTGGAGCCAATAATACTGCTAATGAGTTGTGAAAGCCTGGCCCATTCTTGATTAAATTGAAGATGCCACTAAGCAGCTTTCTGGTTGTCCCAGCAGAGCTGAATGACCATTGTTCTGCAACAATGCAGCGATCAGCCAGAGCAGAGGCGAATGTCTCCCCAGGGTTTCCCCTAAACTGCCTGCTTTGATTCTTGGGGAAGAGGCTCTTCCCCTGGTTAAGGGGAACTGGTTAATGCATTTCAGAAATGCTGTTAAAAATTTTACCCCTCACATGCAACCGAATTGAGTGACACCAAATCAGAAGGGCTAGGCAAGTATTTCCAACCAGTTGTCTCAGCTGCTAAAAAATATGAGCTTGTTAAATGGTAAAAAAGCAGCGCTGTAGGTGCAGTATGAGAATTGAAAGCTTTTTGACTAGAATATGTGAAATACCATCTGAGATCCTTCAAAGTATCCACCACCTGAACTTAAATGTGTTTATCCAGCCTCTCTGGCATCAGTTACAATGTGAGTGGCCCACAAATAGTCACTGTGCAGTGAAAAATAAGCTGGATGATGATGGAAGTAATTTCTAAAAGCACATCCACATTATCCAGCTGATTAACAGTCTGATAATAAAATTTTGAGCTAAAGTAACGCAAAGTTGTTGGTAGAGCAGTCTTGCTTTAAGCTGGAATTTATTTTCAGCTCTCTCATTTGATAGCACAACCTGGTGATTCAATCCATGTTCTGAACCCCTAATCCTCTTGACTAATCAAAACCTTTCGTTGGTGTAACTCTGCTGCAGTCAAAGGTCATGGAAAAGCCTTGACCATGAGGTGTGTGTTGTCTGAACATAATGGTCCATCTTCTTGATGTAAACCCAAATTTGTTCAATCCCTTCTGATGCTGTCATGAGTCAGTGTTTTATGTTAACCTTGCTATGTCTGAAATCCTTCAGTGGCAGATCAGTATAGGAGCTTGACCTTTCTGCAGTACTTGTATTTTGTGGTGCCATAAGGAAAAGTTACGGCCTTTTGTGCCTACTGAAGCAGCAGTCTGTGAAGCAAGAAATGTAGTCTTTATATAACTGTACAGTTATATACATTAGGCGAATGTTCCTTAGTGCTCATGTGTCTTGAAATTGGATGATGTCATGAAGTTACATCACTTCGTGGATATTCTGACTGGTATCTACATGTGTGTAATTCTGTACTGTCCCTTGAGTATTTGGGGCAAAGAAAGTTCCACTTGGATCCCAGGCCTCAAACTGCCTGATCGGGGGAAATGCCACAACTCCCAGAGGAGCAGCATGAGATGAGATCCTTTGGGACAACTAACAAAGACACATTTAGTGCAACTTTACTAAGTTCTGATATAAAGCTGTGGAAAGCAGACTTCATTAATCCTGAATCATGTTTTCTGTAAAGTAGCCAACCTCAGGAGACAGGAACTGATCAGAGTCTGCCTTCATGTCTGCAGGGTGGCTGCTGGGCAGCTCTGCACTGGGACAGCATGGGTCTCTATTGGTTTAGACTGGGCTGGACTGGACTTTCCTCCTCTGAGGAGGACCTGGCTACTCCTGCTGAGATACAGAAACTGTAGTTGGACTCAAACAACTACTTGACAAAGGCTATGGAGAAGCAGAACATGCAGCAGGCTGGGAAGGGGCTAAAAGCTCAGGTGTGAGGGGAAATGTATGGGTAGGCTGGGCCAGTGCACTGGATAACAAGAAAAGGAAGCGAGGCATGAGTGAACAGGCCCCATCTGTTAACACCACGTGGAGAAGGGGTGCTGGCTCAGTAGTCAAGATCAAGAGTTGCTACTTCATTTCCTGATGGCCTGTGATACCTTCAGGAGTGTTGCTAAGGTCTGCAGACCATTAAATCTGTCCAGGTGTTCTTGGAAAACCTGTATGAGCTACCTCTGAAGATTCAGATTTAGGGGGAGGTTCATCTTGATCCTAGATAAGCATGTATGGTGATGTGTCTTGAACTGTATTGGCAGTCCCTTTCAGTAAAAAGCTGGAGAAATTGCTTTCTAAGTGCTTCAAGGCAGAGTCTTCCCAATGGAAAGAGAGTGCACTCCCCCTTTTTGCAATGCATCCCCCTTTTGCACACAAAACCAAGCTGAGTGGGAGAGCAAAGGATGTGCTTGCCACTGCTAGGGCAAGAAAGGGGGGGGAAATGGTCCCAAACACCCCCCATCAACCAAAATGGTGCCATTTCTGATGTCTGGCTTCACTTCTGAACATAGTGGGAAGGAAGCTCAAGGGAGCAGAGTTTGGGAAGCCCAGCAGTTCTTCCCATGTTATTTCTGCACCAGCAGTTTGTACTCTTCAATATTTGAAGTGAGATTAGCTTGTGTGAGTCACTGACCTTTGACACAAGGAGGAAAACACACAGGAAGTACTTATCTGACCTACTTTCCGTGGGTGAGTGCAAAAGCACAGTGCAAACAAGCAGGGACAAATCTAAAAATCCAGATTACATCATGAGGTACAGCTCGACAAAAAATTGAAGGGCAATTTCTTCTTAGAAATACTCTAGAAATACAGCTTGCAAAGGCTTGAGGAAGAGTGATTTGGTTTGGTTTGCTTTCCAGTAGAGAAGGAAAGTGCTTAAAAAGCTTAATGTCTATGTAAGGTTTTTTGTTATTTAAAACAATCATCTAACGACAATGATCACCCAGAAGGGGTAAGATCTGGGGCTTGATTAGGTTGGTGGCAGCTTGGGTACTTTTTGTCTTTAGAGAGGTTGAATCTAATGGGCTAGTTAACCCTCGGAAACTGGTTATTCTATGGAAATGTGAGGAATGAATAAGGTATTAAGGATGAAAGGAAAACTGGATACACCTGATATCTTAAACGAATGAAAATGAGATAGGGCCAATAAATACACCCATGTAGATAATAAAGTGACAATGAGAGAGCTCAGTTGCTTTGTTTGACAGATCATAATGGTGCTGGCTAACTTCTTCCTAGGATGAAAATGAGTGTTCATTTTTAAGTAATACTGTGTTAATACAAGCAAGAGGAATACAATGGGTCTGGGTGAGAAGCTGGCAAGAATGTATGTTGTTCTTTTTACTTAATAAAATACTTAACTCTTCCTGTAAAACCACTATCAGCTTGGATGATGTAACACAGTGTCTCCTTAAACTTGCAGGTGAGGCAGTGCTGGAAAGGGATAAAAAGGGCATCTTGACGATGGGATACAAGTCACGATTCTGAAAAATGGGGAATGTAGTTGGGGAAATATTAAATTTAGAAGTCACTTATAAGGGTTTGGTTTGAAATTTGAGAGGAGAGAATGGCTGGTTAGGTAGCGGTAACCCTGCATCAGTAAATCTGGGGCTAGTCATGAGCTGAGAGTGGAGCACGTTGTACCGATAGGAACAGTAAGTGTATACGGCAGAGGCCAACAGGTTGCGTGAAGTAATCGCTCTTCTTCATTTAGCGTTGTCTTCTGTGAATATCCTGAACAGCTCTGAATGGTGTGTGTTATGGCAAACAGGGGTTTGGCCTCTTGTTTTAGCAGCTTAACTGGGCTGGTTAATGTCCTCCTTGGAGCATAGATGGAGAAAGCTCAGGGCTGTTTTCTCCTGCATGGAAGGCCATCTTCTATCTCAGGACTTAGTCTGAATGCCCACACTTATAAAAAGGGAATCTCCTTCTACTTCCAGTTAGATGCTGCAGTTTCAGCTATGTGAACAGTGCTGGAAGGGCTCAAGCCGGCAGAGAAGCCAAACTACTCTGTTACTATCCTTTCTTTCTGCTCCTTAGAAGTAATGCAGTGGTTGACAGATGAAGTGGTTGGTGGGTAGCAAAGCCCTGAGCAGGCAGAACCTGCAGCAGGATGGTGATGTGAAAGGACTGAGCATCAGCTGCTGGCAGGATGCAGGTCTGGATGGTTCCTTGCTTGCTTCTTCCCCAAAGCAAGTGCAGCCTGGAAGAAGCACGGAGAAAGGAGACAGCAAGACTGACACCGAATAGACTAACCAGGACTACTCTTTTGGGGAGGGGGGATGGAGTGAAGGAAATGAGAAAATGGAATCTGAACAAAGAAAGTTTGTTTAACCTTCAGGAGCCCTTCTACACAAGCAACATGATAACTTTGAAGTAGTCTCATCACTAACACACCTTTTCCCCTTCTCTTTAAAGCAAACTACAAATCTGAATCTTCCTCCTGAAGACCTTGATTCATCTGGTGATGACGATGATGCGTTCTCAGGTTCAGGTGCAGGTGAGTTATTAGCACTTGAACTGTCAGTGCTTGATCCTTCCAGAATGTGGCAATTGAGATCTTGCTGAGCATCCAAGCTAAAAGGGGGAAGGGAGGAATTGCATACACACCCCCGCCCCAGAATATGAGAGGTTGGGAACAGAGAAAGAGCCTGATCTATTAATCTTGTGCTGCTTCAGGTACTAACAATTAGCAGAAAAGAAGTTGTAGGAGACTTGGGAGGGAGCAGAGGCGGGTATACTCCATGTCACTGCTAATACGAGATAATAATAGTCTTCATGCACTAAACTGCAGTGATTCTTTACTCATGGGGCAGAGAAACTGTACGAAAGGCTTTTGTCCTCTTATGAGCTGGTAGGAGATACCATTTGAGGGTGTGTAAAGCCCAAGCTGCCAACATACATCAAGTGAAAACTTTATCAGTCATCAGATGTGGAAGTTCCCATGGGCTGTAATTTTTCAAAAGCAGAATAAAAGGGCTTTAGGGTGGGGAAAAAGACTGAATGATTACTAAGTTGCATGAGAGACTTTTGGTGCTCAGTGCTCAAGTTGAGGAGATGCTACTGAGGAAAGAGCAAGCTGTTGAAAGGCAAAGTGTGGGATCCTTCTGCTTCCTTCTAGCCACATGCTTGTATTTTAGATTATATTCTGCAGGAATAAGGCCCTGAAATCAGTGCCAGATATGCTAGTGACTAAAGGTGTTGAGTATATAGGTGACTGCTCTGAATCATATAAAAGGTATTTATGGGGAAAAGAATCAGATAATCATCCTGAGCAACCCATGTACTGGAATCAGGCATCTCCCATGTTGACCTGTCCACAGACTAGCACTTGTGCCGTGGGGAAAAGCAGGCGTCCAACAGAGTATTGCTGAATAGTGCATTCGTCTGTCCCTTCTTTATTCCACTGAAAAGAAAGAAAGAAATTATAAACTGAACC